GCCTCCTAGGAGTTTCTACCCCTGCCAGCGTGCCGGGGTGATTCTGGGAGCCCTCCCAACCCCGGCCAGAGGGTGCTGGAGCATCCAGGAGGGGTGGGAGGCGGAGGAGGGAGAGTGTGGAGGAGGAGAAGAGAAAATGTCTTAAAGGGATAAATTAGAAATGAAAAGATTGATATCTCATAGCCCTAGTTGAAAACAGATTTCAGGGATTAGCTTTTAATGCTGCTTACAAATCTTCCCTACTTTTGACTGACTGAAGCAACAAGTGCTAGCAAGTAGTAACATTTTTACTGTTTAATTGATCATAAATGCTCTTCTCTTTCAAATAAAACAAAATACTTTGTTTTTTAGTTCTCGGGGGATAACATTTCTCACAGGTGCAAAAGTTGACAATGACATATATAGCTGCATTTGTAATTATAGGCTTAGTCACAATTGTAGGACTTACCAAATAGCATGAAACACATCCCCAAAATACAGTTCCTTTGTCTGTGACAAATCTTTAAAGTAAATCTTTAAAACTTTAGTCTGGCAGCTTTTTTTTTACCTGACATGTACAGATGTCATTCAGTAGGGGACATAGTACTGGACCCTGTATTTTTGCTAAAGTTAGGGGTGCGTGCCTAGTTACATGGTAGAGTGAAGGTGTGTCCAGGGCCCCCTAAGAAAAGCATGGTAGGATGCAAATCCCAGGTCAGATGGAGTTGCCCTGTGCAGCCAGCGGACCTGTCCATACTTACTGTAATAAAACTTAAATGATTAAGAAAATAAGATATTTTAGTTATTCACAATTTGGTAGTTTCTTCTTTTGGCAGCAAGAATAGCATAACGTGGCAGGTGAGGGTTGATCAGACCTGTGACCTGCACTCTGCAGAGCTGTGGAATCCCCACCTCTGGGGACAGGAAGCGCTCTGTCAGTCAAAGAGCAAGTCTGAACTGCTTTTGTGGTATATGTGATATGCCAACAATGGTAGGCTCTTACCACTGTTTGAATATGTATTAGACACTTGGCTGGATGAGTGGCATCAAAAGTTACCATACATGGTAAATAATTTTTTGAAGAGTAGCTGGACAGGTTTCTTTTCTTCAGGTTCCCTACATACTAGCTGAAGCTGGACTAAAATGTCATTTACTGGTCAACCTATTCTGTATTGTTCTCTCACTGGAGAAATTTTATTGCTTCCATACTGAATGATTTGAAACTGGTTGCTGACGAGATCAGCATACTTGATGAAGTGATGTGACAGCCTTGTGTTGTATAACAAATCCCCATCTAGACTCGCCCAGAATAGATGCTGGCCTGTTAATACGAAATTCTGTTACGCATTTCATCGGAGTTTTAAGTGTACAACTCCAGACTGGGCAACTTTTTGAGATGCTATTCTACTTTCCAAAACAGCGCTACCCTGAACAGGATAGGCAAAAAGATCTCTGGAGCCTAATAGGGATTTTTGATAGCCTCCAACAGCTTGTCAGTTCTGTGGCTTGGACTAATAGTAAGCAAACGTTTTGTTGGTGAACCTTGGAAATCTCTTTGTTTTGCAGCATCATGGAGAAGGGGGAAGAAAATTGTGGGCACCTAATTGAAGCTCACAAAGAGTGTATGAGAGCTCTGGGCTTCAAGATATGAGTGAGATGAGCAGGACTGTGAATGTGGTGAGTATAACCTGCAGGACCTCTGCCTCTGAAGTGCCCTGGCATCTCGCTGGTGCCACTGGAAAGCCCACAGCACTGTTCGTGTTGGCAAAGGTATCTTCTTTATGAGAGGGAAGGCAAAGTAATCCTAATTGACACTAGAGTAAGTACTGCTGTCCTTGTGAGGGTGGTGACGCCTTCTGGCAGTAATACAGCCTTTGTGAGTAGCTCTTCAGCAGTAGGGTGTGGTTCTGCTTCTGTTGTCTTCTAATAGATCCGAACTTCAACTTGGATTTCTAATGCTAGGGCAGTGTTGGGGTTGGTTTTTGTGGGTTTGTTGCTGGGGTTTTTTTGTTCATTGTTGAACTGTCCCTCAATATCCAATGGAAATCCATGTTTTGTGAAGCTGTCTTTCCTCTCTCTTCTAGATGATGTCTATGGTGTGACTGTGTTCTGGAAAGCTGCAAAATAAATTGTTTCTGCAAGTTACTTCAAAGAACAAATATAAACAAAGAATCTATTTATAAAGAGTCTCTAATGATAGATTGGGCATCACATCTATGGCTTTTCCACTGTTAGCTCTTGAACGCTGCTATAGAAAATATATTTTTTCCTCTTAATAAAAGTCTGAAAATGACCAGTGTTCCTGACTTCTGTTTCTTTTTAAATAAAGAAATGACAGTGCCCTCCTCATTGAAAACAGTGCGCTGTAGGAATGGAGAGAATGAGAAAAGTGTGCTTACTCATTGACATGAGAACATTGGTTTCTCTGGTGGTGTAGTTGAACAGATGGGCCTGCCGTGGGTTTTCCTGCTG